TCTTCTTCTTCATCCTCTTCTTCTTCTTCTTCTTCTTCTTCTTCGTCTTCTTCTTCTTCTTCCTCGCCTTCCTCATCGTCTCGGCTAATTGAACCGGCCTGCTGAAGGTAGACTTTGTCAACGGCATACGAAAATGGATAAGAGACGAATCCAGAAGGCATGCTTGCTACCACTCTTCCAACTTTATCTGGCCTTTTTACCTCTTTATGCCTCTGTTCCAAGTTTAAGACTGAGGAGAAGTTGGATTCTGGACCTGTCGGATAGGAGAATACCGGCTTGCCCTCCAATATGGACCGTGGTTGCGAGCCGTTGCTATCTTCTTCAGAGTAACCAGAGGCCGGTCTATCAATTGAGCCGGTACTCGACATCCTAGTACTGCATTTTTCGACTATCGAGGTAGCGACTGTCGGCAGCTTGGAAGTGTCGTTGGCGGCCATTTCTAGCCTATCAACAAACAAAACATCGTCGAGTTTGCAAGCACCGTTGATTGCCACCTCCGTCAAAACTGAAGTAGTGCGAGGCTGCCGAGCCTTGCTGACACGACTGATTTGGCCAGCAGTCATGGTGACTGAAGCTTGGCTGATTCGACGACCAGATCGTGCGCCTCGTGCTAGACAGTTGCCGGGCGCATCATCGACCGAAGTGCAGATGGAAGGGCCTTGGAATGACATACACTTTTCTTGGCATAGGGACCCTTCTAATGACCCCCTATGATTCCTATCCCTCACAAGTTTTCGTCTACCTTCTGTTCCCTCTTCTTCATCGTCTCCTCCTTCTTCTTCTTCTTCTTCTTCTTCTTCTTCTGTTGCTGCTGCTTCTGCAGCTGCTTTTTTCTTCAAGTCCTCCATCAAGTCTCTCGTTATGCTTTGCGAGATGGACCTCGACAAGATAGAGAACGCATGAGAATCCTGTCCCTGGTTTTCGTCTCTTACAGGTGACGATATTGCTGAAGAGGATGTGCTATTCACCGGTTTAAGTCCCAAGTCGAATTCGGCCAGTCTTTCCTGGAATCCAGATGATGCGATGAGACTGGCATTGTCTACTACACCAGCGCAGGGTGAGTCTTGTCCTGTGGCTGGTCGGATAGGACCACTGCTGAGGGAGGTGGTGACAGGCATATGAACTTCTGGCAAAGAATAAACCGAATGTGCAGACAGTGAGGAGGATGTTGAGGTGGTGGAGGAGGAGGAAGAGGAGGAATGAGTTGACGAAGCTAATGAGGACGAAGAAGAAGAAGACGAAGAGGAGGAGGCTGACGAGAGCAGGAAAGAGGGAGCCAGATTGGGTGTTTGCATTTGTCTAAAGGTGGTAATCTCTTTTGTCTCTTGTGATTCCAGAGTACCAGATGCTCTTTCCTGGTAGTAGGCCAAAGTCTTAAGGCAACTGTTTGGCGAAAGAGCCTCTTCTAGAGGAGTGGCCGAATCGTATAGGCTGACTCGTGTGTCTGCTGCCGAATAAGCCCCCGGCATGGCGACTGGGAACGTGTCAACCAACAATGAGGCCGACGAAGTGGAGCACACGGAAGCGAGGGAAGAAGAGGACGAGGAAGAGGAGGAGGCCGAGGAAACTGAAGGACAAGCTGTCCAGACCGAGGGGATCGTCGTCGTACCTCCAGACAACTGCTCCTCTCTAGCCTGACTGACACCCGGCCCTCCGTTTGCCATGCTTACATCTCTGGCAGGAAAAAGGGTTTCTGTTGGAAGTTGTATATGCCTTGGATCAGACTGCTGAAGTTCGTTCTGACCACACTGCTCAAGGGGATGCGAGTTTGGATGATGGTTGGGTTGCTCACGGCTGTGGTGTGAATGGGGCAGAAGGGGGCGTCGAAGTTGGAGGTGATGATCATATTCCAAGTGTTGTGGTTGGTGAAATTGGGAGGCTAACATGTGGCCAGGAGTTGCGGGGAATAGGGAAAAGTCGATACGTTCATCTGATGGTAGGTCTGAAGGGTGCAAGAATTCCAGTTGTCCGATCGATGTGCAACCATTGATGTGCACCGGGGAAGATTCAGACTTGAGTCCCGTATGAAGCGGAGGCCCTGGACTGGTATTTTGCTCGATAAGCTGCGACAAGTGAGCTTGCCGAGCTGTTTCCATGTAGCCAGCATGGATGGGGGTGCTCGGTTGAATGCAATGATGTGGAGTCTGTGCAACGGACCGAAGAGCATCAGAGTCGAGTTGATATTGGTTATGAGTTGAAAGCTGAGGGTGATGGAGTAGATTTTGGTGTTGCTGATGGAGATTCGGAGAAAACGAGGCGCCATTATGCCGCTCCTGAAGGCTATTGAGGCCAAAAGAGAACGAGGAATAGAACGCAGGCGCAGTATGCAAGACAGAGGCGTAGTCGGCGCTGGCAGAGCCCGGCCTGTCGTTTGAAGATCCTGATGTCATGATCTTGGCTGAGGGTAAGCCAAGCATCGTACTGGTCGAAATCACTGGTGGGCTGGTGGTCATCTGGACCAGATTACAGCCTAGTCAATGATGCTAAGCCTCTTAATTGACGTTCGTGTCCCTCGAGATGTGTTTGTCAGTGTGTGCGTCTCTGTTTATAGATATTTGCAAAATACGAAAAATGCTTTTAATGTGTAAATAAGCAAAGCCTACCTTCCAATCAACTTTTACTTCAGATTGGAAATTCGAGTCATAATAGCTAAATACATGTCGATTTGAGGCAACCATCAGCTTAACCTTTTGTTGTTAAAAGCCGCAGTCTCCTTAGGCCGCATAAGTTGATGAGGGTAAGTGTTGGTGAAGCAAAGCTGTATCTGCTATAGTAATCTATCCCATTACTTATTTTTTTTTGCTTATAAGTAGGTTTCTGAGGCTACCAGTAGAGCACATATATGAGATGTATTCACCCTAAATCGTTAAATAAAGTCGATTGCTATAGCAAGAACAACTTTGTTTCACTGACAATCCCAACATAGAATGTGATATGGGGAAATGACTAGTCTTCATTGAAATTAAAAGCTGACCTGTGAAAATCTGTTGAATTTTTTCTAAATGCTATGAGCAAGCCTCTCGATATCTTACCTCGACATCAGTTCATAAATTAGACTGCTTCGTTGTCTAAGAAATCTGTCACAGCTTTCCTATTCTTTCCCTCGTATTATCTGCATGATTTTCTTATGCAGAGAAAAATGGTAGCAGATTAAAAACTATTCTCACATATTAATATTAAATATCACAATCAATAATAATACATTATTATTAAAATTACTTTCACATATGTTCAAATTACTCTCGAAGTATTCAAAATTCTCCCTCGAGGCGCTTTCAGAACTCTCTTTGATGTAATGTGTAATTGATATCTTGCATCAAATCCAATAAGACTATAACTTTGACAAGATTTTAATAAACTTAGTTTGCACTATGTGATTTGATGTCTGTTATAGAGTTTTTCCCAAAGTGATATGGGTAGGCCTCACAATGCCTCCGTCCTTATTCAGACTGGAGTGCGATTTAACCGCTGGCGGATTCTTTTCACCACTCTTAACAAGAATACACTCCAGGCAAAACAGCTTTTATTTTGTATAGAAGTTGTTTGACCTTGTTTTCGCAACATGGTCATATTGGTAGGAAGACTTATTGGAACGCAC